CCTCTCCCTCTCCCTCTTCCCGCAGGCGTCCACCCTTCAAAATCCTCGTCTTCCTCATTTCCTATCTCCATTTCCATCCGAACCATTCACATACCAGTTTATGCCAAATCCGCCTTCTCTCAAGTGATGTTTCTGCTTTGAATTTTTCCGCGTCCAACACAAACGTTCGCCACACGTGCTCAACCGCTCCAAGCAATCGGGTCTAGGAATGAACTCAACAACTCAATATGGCCAACATGCAGCCTTTTATAGCTGTTGGCTGTTCCAATACACAAACCCACCAAGAAACAGGGTAAAACAAAATACATACACACAAACAAGGTTTGACATACTACCAAAAATCCTCAAAATATATTGCCAATGCTAGTCATTTTCAGCATCTCTACAAACACATCTTTATCAATATAAATACAAATCCAACATTAAGTTTATAAAATGTCTAACTCTCTGCTCCCCCCCTTCCGTCTGCTTTGGTCTCTTCCGGAACCTTTAAAAGGTACTCAGGCCCCCGGGGAATCTTTTAGCCTGAACACCCTGCAGAGGAAGAGAGAGGTAAGCCACACCCATACAAGCCTTCAAACATTTTAAACAATCAATACTTATATCATCCCTTTGTTGTATTTTAACAGGACATAATCAGTTCCAGCTGAGATGCCACCGAAACCACCATTAATAAACCATTTCAATCAGTTTGAATCCGGTTCATTTCCTTCATCATGCATTTCTTTTATCATTTAACACATTTTAAGTGTTGTACCACCAAGTAATGAAGACCTTCATTACACCGGGTTTTGCTTTGAGAGAGGAACTGTTGGGTCCAGAGACTGTTTAGTTCAGCAGAGTCCAATAACCTCTTCAGCGTCTTACTTCTGACTTGAAGGTAGACCTTGGTTTGGGGTTTCCAGCTCTTAGCCAAGAGCTGCATGGGAATCCAGAGAAGAGTCTTCAGGTTTGGCTCAGAGGGCAGGCTCGGCAGGTTAAGCTTATCCAGAGCTTCCAGGGGAAACAGGATTACTGTGAAGCAGAGACAAGGAGGAATTAGAATCTGATCTCAACTGAGATAACCAAGATTCTGAGGTGTTTGCTAAGGCTCAGGTGCTAACCAAACTGGATAAACACTGCGGCGTTGAGGCAAGGTCTGAAGGCAGGTTATATACAGGAGGATCCACTGATGACGAGATGCGCCTAAGGTGTGTTGGAGGCTCAGCTCAGGAGGATCCACGGCGCACTCTGCTGGAGAAAGGTGGTACAGCTCCAGATCCCAACAGAGGCACACGTTGCGCAGCTTGGTGAGTGCTGTTGCTGTGTATGTGGGAGGATTAGCATGCTAACTACTAATGCTAATCGGCGACATGCTAGCATGCTAATCTCCGCCAGTTTTTTTATTAAAGAAAATGCATTTTTCAAGGCTAGTTTCATTAGCAATGGTTCAAATTCACTTCGTACTAAATCATACTTAATGGTTAAAGTTAAATCCGTCGTGTAAAGTTGTTAAAAGTGTTTTTCTGTGCTAGATTGTTATATTAGCATGTTTTTTTTCTTTCCCTAGTGCTGCTAACCTCATGTTACACTGTGAATGTTATCAGTGTTATTTTCAAGTGCCTTATACAGTGGGCACTGGTTGGAAATGAACGGTTTCCTGCGTGATTCCTGTGTGATCATGATGTCTTTCCTTAAGGCCAGTTTTTTTTATTTCAAAAAGAACAGCAATGTACCCGGACAACCACCAGACGGCACTTGGGAGCTCTGCCGTGCTAAAGGTGAGGTTTGTGGGCCTGCAGTCAACTGAAAAGTTTATTGAGACCATTTACATAAACAACCAAAATCTTATGATGATATGATGTTTTTGATTAAAATAAAGTTAATGAATTAATTTAACATAGTGACTGCATTATCTTATTTCCTACACCTCCGATCTTATCTGAGAACTGTTTATTTCTATTTATCTGCATCTATTATTTAATGAAAAATGATTATAATTAATCTTTTTGGCCAAACAAATAACTGAATCAAAAAAGGTCCGTGGATCATCCGTCCATTCGATCGGTTGCGTGCTCATGGATAATTTCTAGGTTATAAAAACGTCCTCAGCGACTCTGAATGAATCGGTCTCATCAGGCCTCTTTTTTTTCATCAGTGGGTTTTAATTTCGTCACCATTGTTTCAGTCATTAATGCAAAATTGGTCCATGGTGAAGTTTAGAAATGCAGATAAAAGAAGAAATCCACACCCGTGAGTATCTATTTTTTTAATGCTGTGATGTTTCTGCCGTTCTTCTTTTAAAGCTGAAGTCTGTATGTTTTTAAAAATCACTTTTTTGTCATATTGGCTAAAACTGTCCCTATGCCCAGACAGCAGTACATGTGATATGTAACCTGTAAAAAAAATGCTTCAATTGGTCCCGCATACTGCCTGTATTTCAATCTGGAAAGAATATTTCGGGACGAGCCAAAACAACCAATCACTGCCAGAGGAGCGTCTGATGGAGTGTCAATCACAGCTCACACACGCTGAATCCCGCCCCCTCCCTCTCACCGCTGAAGCTGCCGCTGCCGCCCGGCTGCTGCAGTCAGGAAGACGCGCGTGGAAGTCATGGCGGAGCGACAGCCACCAGCGAAAGAGAAACTGCCCTTACTGCCCCTGCCGACAACTGCTTACTTGGCAAACTTCGGTATAACTAGCATCTTATATCTAGCTGCTTGGAGGTGAGTGTTATCGCTCTTACCGGTTCACACTCCATGCCGCGTACGCTGCTTGGACGCTTCTGGTCGCATGCGGTAGCCGCGCAGATGCTGTGAGAGGAGTGGAGCTTGGAGGTGGGGCATGAGTGAAGCAGAGAGGGTGGGGGAGTGGCGTGAAACCTGTTTTTCTTCAAATTTTCAGTCGAAGTCTGCTCTCTTCTCAATGTTACAGACTGCAGCTTTAACCTTCATTGAAATTCAGTGTATTAATTAATAGTAGATTATTATAGGCTACTTATAGCTGCAGGATATTTGATGCCATGTTATGCAGAAATAATGCTTCTTATATCTTGGTCTAAATTCACCAATCTGTGGTAAACTAAAACGCACGGATCTTTATGTCATTTTGTGTGCGTGTGTGGCATCTGCAATCCATTGGGAATCCCAGAGGGAGGGAGGGGGGTTCATGCAACGTCATTCCATCACCGTTTCCGGAAGGGTTTCCCCAAACTCGGTATCCAATCAGCGCCGTCATAGATCCTGCGCTGTAACTGTAATGCTTGGCTCTTTCTGTCATTTCATTATAACTTTTTGTTAAATATTCAAATAAATAAGATGGAATTAACTAGTGTTAATTTCGTTAACGAAACCTAAACGAAAACATTTTCGTCAATGCACATTTTTCACCGAACTAAAACTAGACGAGACGAGACGAAAATCCCCACTTATAAACAATAACTGGGAGTAAATCAGGAATAATTTTCGTGGACTAATAAAGACGAGATGAAAATGCAGTTCGGTAAATAAAGACTGGGCTAAAATCTATGGATGTTTTAGTTCACGAACAAAGACGAGACGAAAATTACATATTATTTAATGTTTTTTTCTAAATCCTTTCTCCTCCGCCACACACCCACTTTCAAACCTGGAGCGGGCGGAAACAGAGGCGAGGCGGCGACAGGTTAAAAATAAAACATGCTTTGCCCGGAACTCGGGAGAAAGAGGAGACGTGATCTATGGACACATTTTCACTTAATTGAAGTGGAGAACAAAACCAAATGCTTGATTTTAGTGGAAGGGAAGGAATGTGGCCACATGATAGCTGGAAAAAACACAACCTGAAGAGACACGTCGCAGTTCACCAGAAAGACATTATGGTAAGTTAACAGAAAGATTGGTGGTGATTGTTTATAATGTAACATTAAATCAACGGCTATAATGTCCCAATGATAAACTAATTAATGTTGGCTAACTTTCATAGCATTTAGTATCCTGGCTGGCTAGGTTCCGTTAGCTTGTTAGCACGTAGCGACCGTAGCCACTTGTTGATAGAACTGAATGTGAAGTTAAATTTATGCTAACTTAGATATGTTATACTGGCCGGTATATACTTTACTTACTATACTTTAGATTTTTAAATAAAGATTTCTTCACAACAATTGCTCATATCCTCATAATCTTTCACATTGGACATATGTGGGAATGTTTGTATCGATTGTGAAAATTGAAGTGTTTAGCTTTATTGAGATAATTGAAGTTAAAGATGCTAGTATTGGAGGCCAAAAATTTCAGGAATTTTCCAAATAAGTTTGAACCACTGCTCCAATCCGGCCGATATTTTAGGGATTGAATATTTTTAGGACCCTCCATAGATCTACCAAGTTTGAAGTGTTTGGCTTTATTACTTTTAGAGATAATTGGAATCAAAGATACTATTAGAGGCCAGAAATGCAAACATTTCAGGAATTTTCCAAATAAGTTTCCTCTAGAACCACTGCTCCAATCCGGCTGATATGGGAACCGGAACCACACAGGAGGTCTTCCACAGGGTGGGAACCACCCCCAGGTTGAGGCTCAGGTTGTACATGTTGCTGAGGATCTGACAGAGCTCATCTGCACAGGTCCTCAGCAGCCTGGGGGGGAGGCCGTCTGGTCCTGAGGCCTTCCTCTGTTTCAGCCTCCTCAGCTGCCTTCTCACCTGCATTGGTGTTACTGTGAGGGGGGAGGAAGGCATGACTGGAGGTGTGGATGGGTCGGGGGTTGGTGGGAGTGGCGGCGGTGGGGGGAAAGGTCTCTGGGGGGCTGGTGGTTGGAGGTGTGTGGAGAGTTGAGGGCAGGGAGGGGACCAGTGTGAGGGGAGTCAAACCGGGTAAAGAAGCTGTTTAACTCATCTGCAAACTTGGTGTAGGCACAATGCTCTCCACACAGAAGGTCATGTAGTCAGTGATGCATTCAGTCAGGCTGTTGATGTCCTCACCATGAGTGCTTTGGAACATGCTCCAGTCTGTGGTGCTGAAACAATCCCTCAGCTCCTCAGTGGCGTCATCCGACCAAACTTTCACTGACTGTGCAATTGTCCTTCTCACCAGTGGAATGTATTGGGGGGGCAGGTAGACAAGGTTGTGATCTGAACGACCCAGTGGGGGGAGGGGTGCGGAGGTGTATGCATCCTTAACATTTGCATAAAAAAGGTCCAGCCTTTAATTGTTCCTGGTTGCATGTGACGTATTGTGTGAGCGTGGGGAGAGTGGAGCAGAGTGAAGAAGTCTATTCTAACAAATCCCTATGAAAAGGGTGGATTAAACTTTATCGATTTCTGTACTCTAAATAATACCTTTAAAATAAATTGGCTGAAACACTTCTTTAAAAACCTTAACTCTATTTGGAACGTCATACCATGTCACTTGCTGTCAAAACTGGGTGGTTTGAGCTTTTTCTTAACCTGTAACTATGATATTGATAAAGTCCCGATAAAAATGTCAGCCTTTCACCGCCAGGCCTTCTTTTCATGGTCCCTTATTTTCAAACACAACTTTTCACACCCAACAAATATTTCATGTGGAACAATAAAGACATATTGTTTAAACATAAATCCGTATTTATTGATTATTGGTTTAATAATAACATTATTTTGGTTTGCCAATTATTTAACAAAGAGGGTCTTCTTTACTCTTATAAAGAGTTTCTAGAAGAATACAAAATTCCTGTGTCTCCTATAGATTATGCCA